TGTTTGAAAAAGTTACTTTATGTACAGTTCTCAGTCCCTGCTTTTCTTCACTGTCCCGCAGATGCCGGTGTATTACTACCCATCTGGTCAGTACCCTACCTCAAACACGCAGCAGTACCGGCCCATGGCCTCGGTTCAGTACAGCGCTCCGAGGAGTCAGCAGATGCCTCAGGCAGCACAGCAAGCAGGTACTGCAGTCTCTTCCCTGTTTTCTCCTCTAACACGGTGATTTTTGCAGGTTGTTCTCTGAGTTGTCCTCTTTGGATGAATATCCAAGCTTGGCAGTTTAAACCCACTCATTTCCCTTACTCGAAGCAGCTAGCAAAGCACTTGATTCTCTGTATGTGGAAAAGCAAAACATACAAGAAGGTGAACACGTCACTTTAGCATCCCGGACATGCGTGCTGAAGACAATTCCCATAAATTTCCATTCCTTTGGGGTCACTTTAGGATCCCAGGCATGGGTGCTAAAGATAGTCACCATAAAATTCCATCACTTGGGGACCTTTTTGGTTTATTTTAAAGTAGCAGGCCAACCAGATCCCTGTATCCCTAGTTCATGCTTTTTTTCTAAAATTTTAGTTTTTTTTGTTTTTCTTTTTTTTTAACGTTTTACTTGAAGAGAGTTCTTTCCCTGTTCCCAAGATTAGGGAGTCAGGCTAGATTGAATCTACACCAGCCTAAAAAGCACTGTCTTTACAAGAAGGCCGTGGCAACGCGGCCCGCGTCTCGGAGGAGCTTTGACCCCGTGGTCCACGTTGACGGAGGCCACGGCAGCCTCCCGCCCAGAGGCCGGCAGCCACTGTGCAGTGGGAAGGGGGGCCGATACACTGTACGAGAGTGAGTAGCAGGTCTCACAGTGAACCGGTCTCTTTCCCTACTGTGTCACACTCGTAACGGGATGCCGTGACCCAGAGAACAGCAGGAACCCGGCAGGGCGGAGCGGGAACCGGCAGGGCCGAGTGACTTGTGCTAGGCAGAGGGTTGTGTCATTCCTGCCGGCCAAACTGCAGGAAAAGCTGCTGATTGTCCCGCTGAAGACCGCCTGGCTGGGAAACCCTGCCTTCTGTAAGTAGGTCACGTGACAGAACACGTGTTCCCCGCTGCAGCTCCCCGGTGCCTGCGCCGTGATCTGACTTCTGCACGGGGTCTGCCTGCGTGCGCCAGAGTACGCACAGCTCTGTGCGTGCAGAATACACATGACGTGCACAGTTTGTTTGTTTTTAAATAAACTATGACAAGAAACACAACCCCTGCCGAGGATTAATATCGAAAACGGATACCGTAAGAATGCTAATGCTGACATGGCCAGCATTGTGTCCCTTTGGAGAAGGAATTAAATACCTCTGTGCGGTGGACGGCTGTAAGTTCTTTAGTTCATCTCGTGGCCTATTTAAGTCTGTGGGAGAAGAATTAGAAGAATTTATAGGGTGACTGGAGCCCTGGTGGCACAGCGGCTAAGAGCTCGGCCGCTCACCAAAAGGTCGGTAGTTTGAATCCACCTGCCGCTCCTTGGAAACCCTACGGGGTGGTTCTACTCTGTCCTGTAGGGTCGTTATGAGTCGGAATCAACTGGACGGCAATGGATTTGGGTTTTTTTTTTGGTTTTTGCATCAGCCAACCAGACCATGTTTTATTTCTACACTGTATTAGTTTGGGGCACAATAGATTTTGACTTCTGAATCGACTTGATGCTTTTACAGTAATAAGCACACAAAACAATTTTTAAAAAATTAAGTCTTTTAAGAAAAGTGTTTAATAGTATTTTCTGTGATTATTAGAAAAAGTCATTATCATTTTGGAGGGATGCTAACAGTTTAAATATATACTGCCCTGATGCATTGCTTGCATTTTGAAATGCCTTATTTTCTTCCACTAATGTTAATCAAAGAATTTACTTACAGTCTCCTAGATGTTGGTCAAGAGTCTTCAGTGAGTTTTCTTTTTGATGACTAATGCCTTTAGAAGAACAAAAATGCAGCTATCGAATTCCAATGATTTTGTTTTTCCTTAGCTCACTGCCCTTGTATCACGCAGTTTTATAGGGAGATGTTTCAGTCTTGTGGTAGCGTTCCTGTACAGGAGTGTACTTACAAACGTGCTGGAACCCGCTAAACTCTGGGTCAGTGTGAGGAGTCAAAGCTGAGTGAGTTGGATGACTGGAGGGTGATGGCGAGATTTACAGCAAGCCTTGGGTTTCCTACCGACTCCTCCATTGCTGATTCCTCGCTCCACTAACGTCACTGGTGTGTCAACACAGAGGAGAGTATGTGTGACATTTTTGACTCTTTTGTGAAATGTTGTGGGAGCATTTAGGGCTGCAGAGACAACCCCACTCCCCATCTCAGCGAGACCTACCTGGCCCCAACTACATTCTCTACGGTAGCCTGGTGGCTGCGACACGGTCCGTGCTTTCCTATCACCAGGGAAATGCCAACCGTAAGGAGAGAGAATGGCACTGTAATGACGAAGAATGCATCTCCAAGCAATAGCGTGGCTCAAAACAGAAGCAAGGGCAATGTTTCTGTGTCAGGAAAGTGAGTGACAGTTGATGTGGTCTGTGGGAGTGGGGAGGTGAGAAAGGGAAATAATAAGGAACAGCATCTTCTCCCAGAAGTGGCACCGTTGATGTACACGTACGGTCTGAGGCCTTTGAGCTCATACTCACTGTGACTGCCACGCCTGATACCAAAAAAACCAAACCACACCTGTTGCTGTCAAGTCGATTTCGACTCATCGCGACTCTGTAGGACAGAGTAGAACTACCCCATAGGGTTTCCAAGGAGTGGCTGGTGGAATCGAACTGCCGACATTTTGGTAAGCAACTGAGCTCTTAACCACTGTGCCACCAGGGCTCCACCACACCTGAGAGGTGGCCATAAAATCTCAATGCAATATCCACTGCTGATAAAGTCCAGGTAACCCAGCTGACAGGAGGCTGTCAGCAGTAGGTGAAGACTCTAGGACCTACAGCTGGCAGGCCTTTTGCTGAGTCTGGTGGGACCAAAAGCACATGGCAGATTATTCAAGGGAACGACACTATGTTGGTGGGCTGTTTCATAGAGGAAAAAAAAAAACCTCTTTAGATAATTTTTAAAATTACCTGGAAGAGCTTGACACTGAGCCTTCTTTATCCTTATCGACTTCTATACCGGTGTTGACATGGCGCCTGTCTTAGTCACCTAGCGCTGCTGTAACAGAAGTACCACAAGGACAGAACTTATTTTCTCACAGTTATGGAGGCTCAAAGTCCAAATCTGGGTCTCGGCCTCGTCGATTCCTTTCTTGTGGATGGCCCCTGGCTTCCCCCATCTCTGCTCCCTTCTGTGTCTGTCTGATCTGCTCTTTTTAAACTCAGAAATGATTAGGTTTAGGACACACCCTACACCGATCTGGCCTCATTAATTTAACAAAGAAAACTCTATTCCCAAACACCTTTACATCCACAGATCCAGAGGTTAGGAGTCCAACACGTATTTTAGGGGACACAATTCAGTCCATAACAACACCATCCCGCAGTGATGCTCTGACTTCTCTGACTTGCTCTGCCTTCTGCCTCCTGCAGTCCTGCATCCTGGGATCTGACCCTCCCCTGTCCCCATCTACTAATGACTCCATATTGTACCATGCTGTCCTCACTTATCACATGATTAAGCATTACAGTGACGCGAAATTACGTCAGCTAAAGCCAAATGAGATTTTAATCCCTGTTTGCATCTTGGCACTGTTCTTAATCTTTACTTAATTGTAATAAACAATGTCCCTTCCTTCTCCCACGTTCTTGGCCGAATTGAAATCTCTTGTCTGTTACTACATCTTTCCTCGGCCTTGAAACTATACACAATGAATATTTGTGTTGAGGATTGAATATTCTGCAGTAGATCAAATAGGACACTGGAATTACACTGAGTCCCAGTAGAAGGGCACATGTTCTTCCTTCTAATGGTTTTTGGACTTTTTACCCTACCGATGGGTAGCACTGGTGTGATTGTAATTAAAGGTTACTCTATGAGTTAGAATTGACTTGACGACAGTGGGTTTGGTTTTGGGTTGGGCAGTGTTTAGCAATTTTTGAGAAATCCTATGGTAGATTTGCACGGTGATGTTTGGATTCTGTCGCTACATATTTGAGGAAGAAAATAAAAGCCTTTAGTATAGGAATGTCTCCAGTAGAAAAATTATTTCTTGCCTTAATCTGACATTTCAGGTCACTCAATAGCGGGGGACAAGTTGTCTTTATGAGGCCATTGTTGATAACCCAAGTCTGGGGAGGATTGCAGTTCTGAGGTTATAGCTAAGAAGACTATAGTTTTTTAATCATCCTGATTTAAAAAGACTTAGAGGTGAGTGTATCTTACCTGAGAACATATTTTCTCGGTGGTAAAATACTGAAATGAAGTAATGATGCGGATGCATTTTATGTTTTAAAGTTTTTAGGTTTATTTTAGTAGTCTGTTATCATGCTGCCTTGAGTTACTACTTGTACTGATATCCTTTTACTCGTCTTCAAAAACATCTTTAAAGCCACAAAAAATGTTAGCAAGGGTTATATCCATCATCAGCTGAGGGCCTCCCATGAGGTATTTACTATGGTAAGAGTTTACAAACATTACATTGTTTAATCCCCACACCAGATTTAGAGGGGAAATATCAGCTTCCTTGTTTTACAGACAAAGGAACGTGTTGCTCAGTTACTCTGGGTCCCAAGATTGATCAAGATGGGAGCAGCACTCAGGCTTGACTGGTTTTAAGCCCTAGTGGCACAGTGGTTAAAGCACTAGACTGCTAATCGAAAGGTCGGAGGTTCAAAACCATCAGCAGCTCCGCGAGAGAAAGATGTGGCCGTCTGCTTCTGTAGAGATTACAGCCTTGGAAACCCTATGGGGTCGCTGTGAGTTGGAATTGACTGGACGGCAGTAGGTGTGGTTTTGGTTTTTGGTTTTGTTAACTACTTTATCGTAACAGTGTAGACATGGTTACTAGTTTTGCCTTTATGTGCTGGCATGGGTAATGATAGAAACTAGCATGTTGGAGCTTGCCCAGCACGCCCATGTCACAGAGGCTGATAACGTGTGTAAGTCATTGCTCAAGTGCACAGGTTGGCTTAATAGCAGAACTAACCTGACTTCTGCCTCCCAATCCAGCTTGGGGTTCCATCTGACTTTGCAGAGCTGGTCCGTAACAACAA